TAAAAAAATTTAAAACTAAATTTAACTAAAAGGACTAAACTGACCATTTATTTTTTAACTCAAAACAGGACATGGGTTTATTTATACTCTAAAAACTATAACTTTATACAATTAGTGTTCACTGTAAAATTATATTCGGTATAGACGGTAATTATTAAATGCAGCATATTTTTTTTAATTATTAATTACATTTGTCAGTGGATTAAATTTGCTTTAATAAAGTTGGTGATGATTTTAAATAAAAATAAAATTCTGCTCAAGTTTTTTTATTGTTATCTTTGTTAACAACATCGCCTTTAGAACTCTGGAACCGTAAGTGTTTCTTTCAGACGTCCACAATTTATGCAAAATAAAAAAAATACTCTTTCTACCGGAGCATTCGTACCAGGTAGACATAAAATATATTCGATTAAAAAAAATTATGTTGAAGAATGTTGACTTTGAATAATTCCATCCAACGAGTTACGGGACAATTTTGTGCCCCGGAGCTTTGTTTGGGGACAATGGGACAGGTGACCGAGAAAAGGGACAGTCCCGTTCAAAACGGGACGTATGGTCACTTTAGCTATAACCCGGCGACGGCTCCGTGACGTAGTGGCTTAGCAATCAGTTGCTGCGCTGGGGGCCGCGGGTTCGAATCTCGCACGGAACAAATATTTGTATGGCCTACAAATAATTGTTCCGGGTCTGGATGTTTGTCCTTGTGCAATTTATGTTTGTAAACTGCCTCCACGACACAGGAGAAAATCCTAGTGTGGGGGTAACGTTTTTTTACAATTGAAATTGAAAGATTGAACCCTTATACTTCTTGTTGATTTTTGTATTAGTAAGTAGGTATATTACTTTTCAATACGTGACACGTAAAAATTAACAATAATCAAAAACACATCTACGAAACATCCTATTTATTTATTTATTCTTTATTGCACCAAATATTTGTACAAAAGGCGAGCTATCTATTTATTTACCTATAGTGAAATAGGTATCTTTTAAACTCACAATTTTCAATGCTTCATTTTTAATATATAATTAATTATAAAATTTCATAATTAGATAATATATTAAAATACATAATTCTAATATAATGCAACTAATATACCGAATAAAAAAATTAAAATACATTTATCGTTGTACGCTGTGTGTATTTCCATAAATTAGTTCATTGATGTTGAAAAAATAATACTACATTCGTACCTACAATAGGTGGTGGCGTCGTACATATTTCAAATAAGCAATATATAGAAGCGAGCGGCGTGCCGCCGGCAAAATGCTCAAGGTCGTTCGCATGGAGTAGCCCCTTAACTGGAAGATAATAAGATTTCCTATTAATAATCTAACGCTTACTAGATGTCGCTAGTTAGGACTAAAGTGAACATATGTTATGCAGATGGTCACACAGTCACCATCATAGAAAAGTTTCGTTTAAGTAAAAACAAATCGGTTTCTAGTGTGTCTGCGCCCTCTTTTCCCAAAAAAGGTTAGCTTCCGATTCGGCAGAAAGGCCTAATAAGCCAATGCTAGTCCCACAGGTGGTTTTTAGCGGGTAACACTTAGGGTGGTTAGGTTAGACACAGTGAGTACCACATAACCACGACAGCCCGGCTGTGGTGGTATGCATAAGGCTTTTACCACCTCCTCGCGTAACGGGGTAGCCCTTTCCAATTGCTTTTGGGCGCAAAAAAAATTTCTAGTGTATTTACTATTTATGCACAAAACAACTCCATGGTGCTGTGTTCTTTAATTTTTCACACATTTTAACTTCTTTTTTATTCTTCTGTTTTTAAGAACATCTGTAGATTTGTTTATTCATTTGTAATCTAGGTATTATAAAATATATCTAATATTTCAGAAAGAAACATGAATTTCAACGCATTTATAACAAATTGACTTCCCCTACTATGAAAGTTGTTAAATATTTCACCTCATTCCTAATTAGCGCCGCTCTGGTGGCAGAAAAAGTTGTGGATGCCCAAATGTCCTACAGATTAGGCCTTTCGACGTGGTTTTGAGTTTAGAACTATTCGAAAAATAAAACAAGTGAACATTATAGGTCTAAATTAAATTTAAAGATAAACGACTAGCACTTTTACGTATTTCGCTTTTTTCGAGATATGCTCCTAAACATTATCTTGGAAGAAGTGAAATACTTGCAAGAATATATTAAATTATTCATTTATCGCATGGTTGAATAATATGACTGAATGTGTGGTAGCAGTAGGTATACTTATTATATTTTTTGGGTGGCAGCATAAAATGAATCACTCCCATATTGAGATGGAATTATTGTAACAGTACATGGAATTATTGTAATAATACATGGAATTATTATAATAATTTCGTGCATATTTTATGAGTGGATAAACGGTAGAAACGGTAGAAAAATGGGTGACTTTAAGGTCTGGAAGTTTTTGCAGCTTACAATAGATGGCGGTTTAGCTAACATATTTGACGAAAAAACATAAACTAGCGGTGGGAAAAAATGTTAAAAGTATATGTATATATATATATGTATATATATATGTATATTTTATAATATGTATGTATATATATATATATAGACACGCATGTGGAGAAAAGATTTTTTTGGATTTAAACACTACCCTAAGATTATTCCTGAGGGCATCCACAACTTTTTCTGTCACCAGGGCGGCGCCACTTTAGAGTGAGGTAAAATATTTGACAAATTTCATAGCGGGGACGATAATTTCTTAGGAAAATGTCATCTTTAAGGTTTCTTTCTGTATTATTAGTTATATTTTATATTAATTAGATTAGAAATGAATAATCCAAACTATAAACATAGCTAGAAGTAGAAAAATTAAAAAAATAACGATTTATAAAGTGAATTTTTTTTTAAAATCAAACCACTGACGCATTGTGTTGTATATTAATATAATACTGTAGATAATGATAAACTATTATTTAAAACTAATTTCTCAATTAACTGACATTATGTAACAAAAATATTACCTCAGTCACAACTAGCGACATCTGGTGAGTGGAAGAATATTAGCCCTCATTAAGTTCATGACCGTGGTGGTAGATGGCAGTAGTTGAGCTTTGTTCTTTTTTTGGGGCTTAGAATTAGACTGTATTATTGATTGATTGTTGAATTTAATGAATACACTTGCGTTTATTTTTTTTTTATTAAAACACCTACACAAACAAACCGAGCGCTGCGTACCCTGCGTAAATTTCAAGTAGTGTTGCCAGGTGTATTGATTCGCGCAGGACGTCCCGATTTTCAGGGGTCTTGTGATACATCTCGGTTTACCCTTGATCGCGACGCCAAATGTCCTTTTTTAAATAACCTCCTAAGTCTGTACTTCGATCAATAATTTTGTCAGTACTTCTGATTTAGCAGAAATGAATACATTTGTAAGCTCTTACTGTGGCTGTTACTATATTTAAATATTTATGCTATTTTGCTGGTTTTCTTGAAGTTCAAAAAAAAAAGGACAAAAAAATGCACAAAAATGGATGTGCAGTTTTCGGATGTTTGGACGAAAAATTATTTGGTCCTTATATCAGTCCCAAATAATAATTATAAAGCACATATTGAATTGTGTTAAAAGACAAGTATAATTTATGGCAGCCAAAATGGATACGAAAATGTTATTTGTAGCTATTGTAATTATCCCGAATTGGAAAACAAATTCCCGATTATTTTTACCTTCCGTCCCGAAATTTGATATACAGTACCTGGCAACACTAATATCAAGTGACGTCGGAACCATGTTCAGCTTATATATATACTAATAGTATGTATATATAAAAGTACTCTGTGAGTATAGGTGTAGCACGAATGGGTCAGCTCGATCGGGGAAGGACCACACTCTCACAGAATACCAGTGTGAAATTGCAGCTTAATGCTCCTGTGTTTTGTATGGTGAGTGGACAGAACCGGAGTAGACATGTATAATTGTGAATGATTCGTTCATTTGCCTCGGGTCGTATCAACGTATTGGTATGATTGCAATTACTTTTTTGTATATTTCGGATCAAACGATATTTTTTTTATAGGATAGGGTGACAAACGAGCACACAGTCCACCTGATGGTAAGTGGTTACTGTGACCCATAGACATCCACATCTATCCTCAATAAAGACTCAAGATCTAGATGCGTTGTCACCCGTGAGGACTAAGATGGAATGCCTCTTTGCCAGTAAAAAGGGTCTTCGGCTCTCTACACTCACCATACGAAACACAGCAGCGTTAAGCTGCTATTTTACGCTGGTTTTCTGTGAGAGCGTGGTCCTATAACGGTCGAGCCGACCCATTCGTGCTACACCTATACTACTAATATAGCTGCAGCATGGCTATACCACGTATAAAATATATAGAACTTACAACCAAAGAGTATATCCGACGAAATATATAGTAATTGCCGACGTCGGACATTATCGAGCGGGTCTTACATATCATAGAGTACTGATTGACCCGGTTCGTAAGACGAACCAATACTTGAATGATCGGGTCACTAGAAATGAATGAATGACACATGTCTAAACCGGAGACCCTTTTTACTGGAAACGAGGCAGGCATTGCGTTAGCCCTCAGGGGTGATAACGCATCTGCATTTCGATTCTTGACGATAAATATACAATTCTATGGGCCACAGCATTCACTTATCATCAGGTGTACCTACTGCATGCTCGTTTGTCACCCTTATTTTAATTAAAAAAAAAAAACTAAATAATCATAAAAACAATGTCGCTATTTATTTTTATTTTACATTTAAAATTTGTATTGCATAGTCATTGCTTTTCACATTAATTGTATTTCATTTATTTACATTAATATTTATCATTCGTATTTAATTACATATAAATTATTTAATTTTATTAAACTACTATCTTCTCTTTTTCTGGACGCACACATCATATTGATTTAGTTTTAGCTTTTTTTTCGGCATCGCTTTAAATGCTCTTCGTCTAACTTTCATTGTTGGTCTGAGTTCTAAGTAAAACATTTTTTTTTTTGGTGAACATAACTGAGCCTATTGACCGTCATTAATAAAGAGGGTAGCGTTGGATTTCTGATCTGGTGTTTCTACGGGGCTGACGATGGTGACCGGCATGCGGATACACAACACCGGCTCTTCGTTGTGGTCCACGACGCGGAACTCGATTGTTACCGCTGTGCCCTGGAAAACAATTTTGGCTTTAAGTTATAGCAGATACACGTCACACTGCTGGGCACACTGCACACGCCTCCTCTCTTTATCACTAGGTAGCACGACTGTTTTCCTGCCTAGAAGCCCGCCAGCCGGGCTATTCACAATCGTCTCGGAAAGCGAAATCGACTCGGATTCAATAACTTCTCGCACCAAAACCAATAAACGCTATTCACATTTAACGTTCGGATAAAGGTCACTTCATCCCATAACTATTATATCGTCATTTAGTTACATGCATTTACGAATTTTGTAGATAAATAGGCATTTTGTATTTTTTTGAGTAACGCCTGAACAAAAACATAAGGCAATATTTTGGTGTTAGCCATTGATATCGAATATAAAAAATATATAATTTAACTATATAATAAATAACAAAAAATACTGAGATATGTCTCGTTTCTGTCGGGTCTGGGTTTTTTTCTATGGGGCGTGACCGCACTTCTTTGACGTTTATTTTCGATAATTGTGACAGTTTGCATCGGAAACTTCACGAGAGCTCTGAGGCTGGCGAAAACTTGAATATTGATGATTAGGAGAGATAAATAAACTTTTTTAATTATAAGGTAGGTAACAAAAATTAATTACAATTATCTATAGGACGTATTTTCATATAATTACTTCAATATTTGCACTTAATCGTAAAGCTGAATTTTAATAATAATAACATATAAATAAAGTTGCTAAATGTATGTTCATAACTGCTTATATATATGCTTATATATAGAATAGAATAGAATAGAATAGAATATTTTTTATTCAATATACATTACATGTGTAATTCTTATTGAAAGTCATTTTTTACTTTACCACTGGTTCGAAAAAAACCCTCTGTCCTGGGAAGAACCAGCAAGAAACCCAGCGGGACTTTTTTTTAAAATAAATTTTACAATATAAATGATTACGAACTATTTACAAAATTTATCTTAGAAACTGCTTGGAAGCGACCACCTCATTCCCAGGGGTTATTATCAACCATGTATTCATTTATACTATAATAACCCTTTTTATACAGTTTCAGCTTAATAAAACATTTAAACTTGGTAATAGAGAGAACCTGTACACTTTCCGGGACCTTGTTGTAATAGCGTATACATTGCCCCAAGAATGAATAACTGACTCTGTGGAGTCGAGAAACTGGCATCACTAGCTTGTGTTTGTTCCTAGTGTTTACAGAATGTATATCACTTTTTTTACTAAAACTATCTTTGTTTTTGTGAACATACATTAAATTTTCGTAAATATACTGAGAGGCCAAAGTTAAAATATTAATTTCTTTAAATTTATCACTAAGAGACTCTCTCGGTATCTGAGTCAACCGAGAGAGTCTCTTAGTGATAAGTTTCTGAATCAGCCGCATTTCCCCATAGCAAAATCCCATAAGACATTATCCTATGGAAATAACTAAAATAAACTAATCTAGCTGTCTCGACACTAGTGAGACCTCTAATCTTTTTTACAGCATAGGCTGTAGAACTTAGTCTGCTTGCTAATTTGGATATATGGGGGCCCCACTGGAGCTTTGCGTCAAGAGTGATGCCAAGAAAAACAGTGGATACAACAGGGCTCAATTCCTCCTCATTTAAAAACACATTGGTATTCAGATTTTGAACATTCGTTGTTGTAAATTTAACACAATTAGTTTTATTTCCGTTCAAATGCAGATTATTAACGTTAAACCAATGCACTAATTTTGATATAGCATTATTCACTTCGTCACATTTAAATGATTGACGTTTAAGTTTAAAAATCAAGGAAGTATCATCAGCAAATAATACTATATCATGACTATCCCCTACAAGGTGAGGTAAGTCATTAATATACACCAGAAACAGGAATGGGCCGAGAATCGAGCCCTGAGGAACACCCATTAGTACAGATGAACACCCATTAGTATATATATATATATATATATATATATGCTGCTTTGTGAAACGTTAGTAAAGTTAAATTATATATTTTTGTATTCGATATCAATGGCTAACACCAAAATATTGCGTTACTCTAAAAAAATACAATATGCCTATTTATCTACAAAATTCGTAAATGCATGTAACTAAATGACGATACAATAGTTATGGGATGAAGTGACCTTTATCCGAACGTTAAATGTGAATAGCGTTTATTGGTTTCGGTGCGAGAAGTTATCGAATCCGAGTCGATTTCGCTTTCCGAGACGATTGTGAATAGCCCAGCAGTAGGTACAAAACTACTACCACTTACAGTAGCGTTATGCTGAGTAGGTGGCCTTTTTGAAAGAAGGAAAGAAATATCTTTACTTGAAGCTACATTATAAATAATTGCACCACATGCACACAATTATATTAATTCAACATTGATACAGCAACAAATAGTTACTGGACTCAGCATTGTGCCGCGGTGTAAAAACCACAGCGCTGATATTCTGCCGGTGCCCCTTTCAAGAACTCACGAGTAGTCGCCAAAAATGTAAATTTTTTTTCTTCTTAATATATTATATGTTTAGTATTCTATAGTCAGTAAAATTAATGTTTCATAAAAGAAAAGTTGCAGCAATAAATAAACATGTGATTTCTTTCTTTCTTTCTGTCTGTCTTTCTTTATTTATCTCTTTCTTTCGTTCTTTATTTCTCTCGTCTTTTCTGTCGCCAAGTAGTACTGCTGAGTCCGTTCTGAAGTGTATAGTGAGCCCGTTAATTTACAGGCTGTGAGGCATTCCATCTTAGTCCTAAGTACTGGCATCGTACCAGTAGCCTTATTCATTTGAAGTTGGTTGTAGGTGTTTGTGTGAAGACCCGCTAACAATCAGGTAGACTGTGAGTAGAAGATATCCATTAGAATAAATAGTCCCCTAACTAGACGGATAGTGGGGAGGTCTCGCTAAAGTTGACGGCTCCATGACGCAGTGGCTTGGCATTAATTGGCGACGCAGAGGGCCGCGGGTTCAAATCCCGCACGGATTAAGTATAAGTATGTTTCTCCTTGTTTAATTTATGTTTGTAAGTTGATTCTACGATGCAGGAGAAAGTCCTAGAGTGGGGGTAACGTTTTTAAAAATAAAAAATAGTCACCACGCTTGGCAGGCAGACCCGAGCTAACTTTTTTTCCCGGTATGCCACTCCTTTAATTTACTGACCGAAGCAATAGCCTCAGTCCCTTACTCCGCCTGTTACGGACTGTTTACAAGAAAACGTCACTTGACATTTACTAGTCCTTGGAATTAGAGCTTGGTATATTCTTGTAGGTACAGTAGAACGCCGATTATCCGAATCGTCAATTAGCCGAAGCGTAATATAAATAATTTAAAATTAAAAATTTTGTACAGCCGACTTCAATATAAGTTATTTAAGAATAACTTAAAAACTATTGGTCTGACCTTGATCAAATTCATATGGGACCACACGAGAAGTACCAGCTTTCAAATAAAAAAAGAATCATCGAAATCGGTTCACCCAGAAAAAAGTTCTGAGGTAACACACATAAAAAAAAAAAAAAAAAAAACGAAAAAAAAAAAAACATACAGTCGAATTGAGTACCGGCTCCTTTTTGGAAGTCGGCAGAAAATTAAAACCAAGTACTGTAAGTAAGTAATGTTAACTAAGGTTAACTGATAATATAAATAACAGTGAAAACATTTTAAGTTTTGTTACTGGGTTGGAAACTGGTGATGGATGTTCGTCGCGATATGTAATGAAAAAGGCAAAGGATGAACAGCTTGAGAATACTGGTTTTACGTGGTTTCTGCAGCAATGATCTATTGGACAACCGATTTCAGGATCGATTTTATGTGAAAAGCCGCGAATGCTCAGTCAAAAAATGGTTGTAGCTGGTTTTAAACTTTATAAAGTGTAAAACCATTTGTAAACTTGATAAAGTTTATTCTATATGCGACAGTTCGTTTTTCTATATTCGATACATACCAGTCTATGTCTGATGATTATCCGAATGGACCGCGGTCCCAATTAATTCGGATGATCGGCGTTCTACTGTACTATTATTTATTCTGTGGTATATTTAAATGGATATACCGATAGTTGGAGCCACGTCTGATTGTTCAGATCCACATGAAAAATAAAATTTTGTTTCACAGGATGATTTGGGGTAGTGAATATTCTTATACCACCACGACATGGTCACTTACCACAGGGAAGAAAGATTCAATGTACATCTTAAGAGTGTAAGTGACGACTTCGTCCTGCAGCACCGGACAGTAGGTGTTGGTTAGGAAGTTGCAAGTGATGGCGTTCGTGCCCAGGTCGTAGGGAACAGGAACCTCGAAGATACCGAAGCCCAAATAAGCTGTGGCCAATGTTGTCATGGAGGGCATTACGCGTGCTAAAAATTAAATAAAAAAAATATTAGATTTGTAATGGATAGAATATATGGGTAGGCCAAACGGCGAATACCGAATATACTGCTTCCAGACCGAATAGTCGAATATTATTAAGCCGGCTATACATGTTGGCCGAGCGAAGCAACTTTACTGCGGAGTACATATGATAATTATATGCACTCATTATATAAATAGCAGAAGCTGCAATAATTTCTACAGCGTCCGTATCATTCCAATACTCAATGAAAACAAAAATGGGCGAACCTAACTTTTTCAAATGGGCGAATCTCAATTTTTCAAGGTTCGCCTATTTGCGGCGTCACCAAATGTAGCTAACTTTACGGATTTTTTGGATAATTTTAACTTTTTATTCCATGGTCAAATAAGGGCCCCCCCCCTTTTGAGGGGTTGGAAGCTGAGGTGTTTGACGTCTTAATGTCATATTTAAGGTATGTAGCCTTGGCCGGCCTTCAGTGTTTTGATATTAATTTTTGGTTTTCAAACTTCAATAGTCTCGCAAAAATATAAGAAATCATTACGTCTCGTATCTATGAGTCTATATACATTGTTCTCCGTCGCCCAGTCTGGTTATTTTACGTCCGGCGTAAACGAAACATAGCGCCATCTATTGGCAGCTATGAGATCTTTACGGCATTACGTCCTAGGAGTAAAGTATTCTGTGATAACGTCTCGCGTAAACGAAATGGTACAGCGCCATCTATGAGATCTTTACGGCATTACGTCCCACGTAAACGAAATGGTACAGCGCCATCTATAGACACCTATAAGATTTTCTGGCATTTGCCAAAGTCGTTTCTTACGACAACCAGCGGGAAATTGAGTGTGAATAGTCTACTTACATGATTTGAAAACTAAGTTAATGACCGCATCTTGCAGCTGCGGCAGCTGGCACGGTGGAGTGTTGCAACCCTCGACGTACGTGTGGAGAGGTAGTTCACCTGGGTAGTTCCTGCCTGGAAAGAAATTATAAGTTTCTTCGGGTGTATGATTAACTGACTAAATAGAAAGAAAAGAGCACACAGTCCACCTGATGGTAAGTGAATGCTGTGTGCTGTGTGAAATGATATGTACATTTAACTTCGATTAAGAATCGAAATGCAGATGCGTTGTCAGTTGTCACCCCCTGAGGATTAAGACAAAATGCCTCGTTTCCAGTAAAAAGGGTCTACGGATCTCTACACTCACCATACAAATTTTGCACAGCAGCATTTATTTGCTATTTTACACTGGTATTCTTTGAGAGAGTGGTCCTACCCCGTTTGAGCCGGTTCGCGCTACAACCATAATATAGTTTTAATATAATATTATTATTTACTAGCTGTGCCGGTGCCGGGCATGGCAAGCGTTGCAAATGCCTTTCGTTTGGAAACATACGCGGGCGTTCGTACAACAACTTACATACATACATACATATAATCACGCCTCTTTCCCGTAGGGGTAGGCAGAGACCAGTTCTTTCCACTTGCTACGATCCTTACATACTTGTTTTGCTTCGTCCACTTTCATTATTCCCTTCATACATGCTCTACGGTTTAGGGTACTCTTGACCTGGCCTTGCCTACAACGACTTACCAAATCGTAATCGAATGAATGGTAAAGAAACGTATAGAATTCATTTATTTTGTCAGAAATCTTCTTTTAATGGGGTGATTGGTACAAGAACACACACAGGACAAACAAATAGACATTTATTTTTATTGTATAAGGTTAAAAAACATCACTTCCACACTAAAATTTCTGTTGTTTCTGTCCTGTTTTGTTTTGTGCAAACAAAACAAAAGTTTTAAAATGCGTTACTGGCGGATTCTCCATTGCTCTAAAAACCCATTGAGAATTATATTGCTGTCAGTTTTCTTTGTATAATTTTTTAAGTTTATGATGTAATTTGATATTCACTATATTATACCTTACCGTGTAATGGCGCTAAGAATATCCACTACCTCGTGTCATCCCGTGGCTGTTGTAAGAGGCGATAGAGGGAAACAAAGCAGGAGATGGACAGCAGCGTCTTCCTAACGACTAAGAACAAAAAAACTGCGCTTGGTAACTCGCTTGCTAAACGTGGAAACTAAAGCAAATATCCCCGCTATGGGGGAGGCCTATGTTCACCAGTTGGTCATTAATGGACTGTAAGAGCGACCGCAGATTTACAATTATAAGTTGGCCGATTAAATCGCAGAGTATACTAATAGGTATAGTGACATATGCTAGCCCACACATCTTGTCCAACTAAATCGTCCAACTAATTAATTGGACACCGATCGTATCAGAATCAAGATTCCCTTCCGATTACGCACACTTAAAAATTTGTCCAACTATCGGCCAACTGCTCGTTAGCACGGTTACCCTATGCAAGCTCGCGGACTATCCAACTTTGTTGGTTAGTCGTGGTTAGTCGCACGGCAACATGCAAAACGAACCGACGCGCGCGCTTAATTTCCCCACGCTCGGAATTGGGCCTTCGCCGACGGTTGCAACATCTGCCACTCGATCACTTGTTGCAAACGAAAAAGTAGAAGAGCTCATAGATGATATGCAAAAAAGGCCAGCGTTGTGCAAAAAAGTTCTTTTCAAAAAGCATGCACCCAAAATGTTCTGTTTTGTTTTCGTCTTCTTTTTATTATTAATGCAATTAGAGCGTTTTTTTCCGCATTATCACGCACACGCACCGCGCTAGCAACACTGTCACGGACTAAATCGATCGGTACAATACTAAGGCCCGTATTAATAAACGTTACTCAGCTCAAGTACACGCACTTGAGTACAATCTTGAGGTTATTAAACATATCTCAAGATGCGGTTTAGGTTTACGATATCAGCTGAGTGCCACACTGATTAATTAGCGAAACTCGACTCTCAAGTATCTGTACTTGAGTGCAAGTCACAGAACAGTATTCCTAAGTACAGCGTTTTGAGATACAGTTTTTATGTGTTTATTAATTAGCAACGATCTTGAGATGCTAATATGCGATAATATTAGCATCTCGCACTTGAGGGCGTATCAAATGATTACACACTTGAGTTCGTCGTTGAGTATCGTTTATTAATACGGGCCTAAGTGTTTACACTACACCTACATTAGTATCTACTCCTAGGATAATTTACTACGTGGCGTGGATTTATTTTCTGCCCAGGAGTTTGTCTCTGCAGGCGCTACACTTTTACATATTTATGTCGCCAAGTAGCTGAGCTTGCACTTCTGTGTTCCAGTATGGAAGGATATAAAGAGCCAGTATATTTATAGGGTCAGATGTGACAACGCATCTGGAGCATTTTTTGTTTACAGTTCACTGCAGGTGTTCATGTGCAGGGATGTGCTTTTATATAGGACGATCAAAAAGATTAATAAAAACACGTGTGAAAGAACAAATAGCTGACGTGAAGCACCGACGCCCTGAGAAGCCTGCAGTCTGTAAATATTTTCAGGATCGTCCCCACCATTATTACATCACATTTGATAGACCACAAATCCTCAAAAAAGAACACTACGATACGCGGGGCTATTGAAATTAAAAACATCCTATTTTACGTGGTAGAGCCAACCTTCAACTATATTATTGTTGTGGGTCGGCTTAGCTGGGGTAGGACCATGCTCTCAAAGAATACCAACTACTGCTGTGTTTCGTATGGTCAGTGGAGAGAACTGAATACCCGTTTTTAAAGGAAATGGGGCATTCCATCTTAGTCTTCAGGGATGACAACTCATTGAATAAAATTGAGACGTTGGACGTCCTGATCCGGCTAGTTTTGGATATTCATTTCTTTTCGATCTACGCAGAATGAGCTTACAGTATCTTGAAGTCTTGCAGTGGTAAGCTTGGGTTTGGATTTATTTTGTTAATTACTTATAGGATCGCTAGTTCGCAAGCAGATGGTTTTTTTTCAATCTTGATTTCAATAGCCCCGCGTATCAACCTTGGTAGGAATGGGTGTTCTTTTTTGAGGATTTGTGGTCTATTAAATCTGATGTAATGGTGGGGACGATCCTGAAAATGTTTACAGATTGCAAACTTCTCAGAGCGTCGGTGCTTCATGTCTGTTATATGTTCTTTCACGCGGGTTTTAATCGATCTTTTTGATTGTCCTATATAAGAGAGACCACATTCGCAATCAAGCTTGTACACCCCTGCATTTTGTAGAAAGATATTACACTTGACGGATGGTAAAGATTGAAAAGAAATCATTGTGAGAACAAATCTGCATTTTGATTATTTAGCGAGGATACATGTAGATCTCTATGGGCCACAGCATCCACTTACCATCAGGTGGACTGTGTGCTCGTTGGTCACCTCTATACTATAAAAAAGCCTTAGCGACTTAGCTGCGATAGCATTGGAACGTATATAATAGTTTTAAATTTACTTTACAATAAAAAAACACTTACATCGGCTCACGCTGGTGGTCTGCCCAGCGACGATGGTTACCAGAGCGCACAGGGACACGATCGCGTACATTTTGGTTAATGAATTGCGATCGTTCACATCTACTTATCGTTGGTATCCTTCGAAAAATTTGTTGGTTTATCAGACAAGTGCGCAATCTGTTAGTGATACACTGATAGCGTGCAGGTGTTTTTTTAGTCAGTGATTAAAATAATTAATAGTAAATCAATGTAAATCAACAGCGTAGTGGCGGTGTAAGAATATCCACTACTCCATATCATCTCGTAGGTGACGTAAGAGGCGGCAGTGGGAAACAAATCAGGAGATGGGGAGCAGCGTCTTCTTAATAACAATAAAAAAAAACTGCGGCTGTCAACCCGCTTGCCAAGCCTGTCAGCTATAGCAAATATCCCCACTATCAAAGTGTGTACCTAACAGTAACGGAAACTAAATTATTAGGAAGTTCAAGTTCGCTCAGCGAGTTATGGCGAGGGCTGTGCCCTGGGTTTCTCCACGTGAAAAACTTAGAAATGAGGATATCCGCAGTAGAACCAGAGTAACCAACATAGCCCAATGAATTAGTAAGCTGAAATGGGCCGGCCGAAAATGTTCTCGAATGGCAGCCTCGTACCGGTAGGCCGTAGGCGAAGTGTAGGGCGGCCCCCTCTAGATGGAGTGACGACCTGGTAAGATATGCATGAAGTCGATGAATGCAGGTGACTCAGGACCGTGCTTTTAGGTATTCCTTGGGGAGGCCTGTGTTCAGTAGTGGATTTGTAAAGGGCTGTAATGGTGATAATGAAAGATGCCCCATATTGTGCAGTGGGTATCGTATAAAGTGATAGAGTGAAACAGAATAAAAAAAAACTGCGATTGCCATCCCACTTGTCAAGCGTGGCAATTATGGCAAATAAACAGAGGCAATCTATGGGACAGACCTATGATTGCAGACCTTTAATGGGCTGTAATGGTAAATTAAAGTTAATAACATAATATTATTTCAATAGTCGAATTCCTAACGTTTTCCCTCCTCCTCTGTGGTCTCTCTTAGTCAGTGAGAGTTTTATACGTGGTAGAGCCATACTGCAGCTATATTAATAGTATAGTTGTAGCACGAGTGGGTAGGCTCGTCCGGGGTAAGACCACGCTCTAATACCAGCGTAAAATAGCAGCTTAACACTGCCGTGTTTCGTATGGTAAGTGTAGAGAACCGGAGACCCTTTATACTGGAAAAGAGGCATTCCATCTTAGTTCTCACGGGTGACAACGCATCTGTATTTTGATACGCAAACGAGGATAAATGTAGATGTCCATGGCCCACAGCAACCACTTACCATCAGGTGGACTGTGTGCTCATTTGTCATCCTATCCTATATAAAAAAGTCAGTGTAGTGTATACCAGTAACTGGTTCTCACAAGAGACTCATTTTAATTGAATTGAACGAACAAACCAACTTGTTTATTAGAAATAGGAAATAGCGAATCAATTTCAGTACGTTCAATTAATTATACTGGTTCTCTTAAATTAATTATATAGATTTAAAAACATTCCAGTCATTGTTCATGAAAAACAATTTTTTTATGATGGTAAGTGAATACTGTGGCCCATAGACATCTACATGTATCCTTGATTACACTCTTACTACAGAAAACAAGCGGATGAAATCTGGCTAATATTTTTGCACTGAAGATGGACAATCTATCATATAATAACGGTCTGAAACATTAAATGCAGTTATAATAACGATTATTATTATTATTTAAATCCAAAGTAAAATAGATGTAGATGTCTATGAGCTTAAAATAATACAAAGAATCGAAATACATCGACAACTTTTTCTGCCACCATGGCGGCGCCACTAGAAAGTGAGGTATAATATTTGACAGACTTCATAGTGGGGAAGTAAATTTGTTCAGAAAATGTAAAAGTATTGTTTCTTTCTGTACTATTAGCTATATTTTATATTAATAACATTAAAAATAAATAAACAAAACCACAGGTATTAATAAAAGTAGAAAAATTAACAAAAGTTAAAAAAGTGCAAAAAATTAAAGAGCAAACCACTGACGCATTGTTTTGTGTATTAATATAATACTCTAGGAACTGATAAACTTTTATTAAAAACAATTTCTCAATTAAATTACATTGTGTAACAAAACAACTTTACTTCAGTGTCAACTAGCGACATCTGGTGAGCAGAAAATTATTAACCCTCATTAGTTGTATATTTATTTGTTGATCCCGTGTTTGAATTCCAATGAGAGATTAATATTAGCTCCGAAATACAAAAAAAAGTTTTGATGCTGAATGGAACCTACGTTTTATCGTTTGACACTATTCAATCTTCCTTCAATTTTATCCGGTATAAGGACGAAGTTAACCACCCTTTTATCTACAACACAAAATGTTGCCTAATAGCAGCAGTGCGTGCACTACCGTGTTCCAGTCTGAAAGGTATAGAGAGTCCGTATAAACGTGGCTGTATACTTATAGTGCTACAAGTCCTTCAACAAGTCTTGTAACTACAACTTTATACAAGGAAGGCTGCAGATGCGTTGTCATTAGGGTTCCCGACCCTCCCGGATTGCCCGGGACACTCCGATAATAATGTTTAATCTCCCGATGTCCCGGGGTGCAATAATTTCTCCGGTTTTTCTAAAAATTATACAAACCCGTCGCTCGCACGTGTTGCTACTCACTCGCTTTGCGGTCACACACACATGGCGCACCGCTGCCGGTGTAAATCTGTTCGTCTCGCCAGACGGCACTTCCCCAACTTCACAAAATATTAGATGCTGCTCCAAAGAAAAGTAAATAAAAATTTAAAAATTAATAAATGATCGAGTTTTTCTTTCTGGGTCACATGGGTCACAGTATTTTGATCTACTTACTAACTGGAGTGTGTACTCGTTTGTCACCCTTATTCTATAAAAAAATATTTTTTAAACTGCTTGAAACATGTCCATAAATTTAAATAATTCGTTGATGTAAATTCAAAAACGCGAAAGTTAAAATGTTTTATTACAAAATTTTCCCAATTGGCGCTTTTCGCGAGTGCGCCATTTTAAAACAGATGGCGGGAGTTTGCCATTTCGACAGCACGTGACGTGCATAACTTCAATGCCGAATACGGAGCGAAATGTTTGTAACTTGTGAAATATATGAGCTTAACATAAATATAAATAATTTTAAGCCGTAGTACCTCAGTGGCATACGCTTTAAATTTCCAAGTACGCGAGCAGCTCAAGTTCGATCACCACCGGCACTGCTGCAATGAGGATATCCAACACTTTTTCTGCGCCAATTGCGAATGTGATGAAATATTTGACGGATTTCATACCGGGGTAGTTAATTTGTTAAGAAAATATATATGTAATAAACATTATTTCTGTAATATAACTAAAATATTACAGAAATAATGAAAATAATGAAAAATATAACAAAAATATAACAAAAATATTACAGAAATAATGTTTTTTTCTGTAATATTAGTTATAAGTCAAAGATGTTTTATAGGTCCAGATACCGTGTACGCGCGCCTAAAACGCTTCCATTTCAAAGGCGCCAATATGGGCGCATTCGTTCGATCGTTCCGCCATTACGCCAGCGACGTTCGCTGTGAACGTACGTCACGCACCGGTGTTTTTAATTTCGCAAAATGACTGTTTGTGCTGTGAAATCATTTAAAAATTACTCTTGGAAAAAAGATAAGAATAAGAACATCACTTTTCATAAGTAACTATATAATTTTATGGTGTATTTCTTTGTAAAAGAATACGAAAGCTAAATGTCAATACAAGTAATAATACTGCGCAATAATATTCGAGTGTTGCCTAGTCTATGAAATGTTTTTACCATTTTTTAATGTCATGATCAACCACAAAGGTTATCTGTATAGGGGTTTTAAATAGTCTAATTTTACAGATTTTACCCAACCTATAGAGTTAAACCGTTTTAAGGGTTAGAGTTGAACTACATCTGGCAGCATGAAATTGCACTTTCCTGTGCTTCTATCCTTTTTGGTCACTCAGAACCGTTATAGTTCCACCCTCAAAAAGCCGATTGTAAACCGGTTTTAAAAGTTTATCTATCATTCTTGACAATTCATACTAATATAATATTATAAATGTGAAAGTGTGATTTTTTTGTTTATTTGTTTTTGTCCTTCCTTCACGCAGCAACGGAACGGAGCAATTTAAAAAAAATAAACATTTTGCTATCTCTTGGCTGAAGTTTAACAGTGGTAGAGCCACGCGGCAGCTTTTATTGTCGCACGGATAGGCCGGCTCGAACCGGGGTAGTACCACGACCTCACAGAAAACCAGCGTGAAGTAGAGGTTTACCTCTGCGTTTCGCTTGGTGAGTGCAGGTGGCCGGAGGCCCTTTTTACTGGAAATGAGGCATTCCATCTTAGTCCTCACGGGTGACAACGCATCTACATTTTGATTTATAACAGAGGATAGATGTAGATGTCTATGGGCCGCAGCAACCACTTACCATCAGGTGGACTGTGTGCTCGTTTGTCACCCTTATCCTATAAAAAAAAAAAAAAAAAAAAAAAAAAAAAAAAGTTTACGCTTAACCAAACTTACTTTTTTTCGTCATTTTACTTAGGATTGAAAAATAATTTAATGTCTTCGTAAAAAGTGTCAATATTTTGTGTTCTACAGTACAAAAGTGTAGTACTCTGTATATATTTAGTAATAATAGATTATAAATATATGTTACATACATAAATATCTACTGTGCTTTTTTATTTATTTTAACTGTTAGGTATATAAATTATGGGTTTTTTTTACATATCTTCAATATTTTAGTGCGATGTTCGTACCTACATAAAACACACATAAGCAACCATATCCCCATACACACACACACAAATGCACACGCCACGCACACACATTTTATACTCTTATAATCAATAGGTACGTCAATAGGAATGAAATATAAAATCTCCCACATGTTTTGGGTAATCGATTCGCACTGTTATTACCGAAGTCACGCACATTAATGCAGCCATGGTGCGTAAGATATGCGCGTCACGTGGTACTCACGCACACATGAATCAAAG